ATAAACTGGGCATTATTAAGTCGGAGAAACAGATGGTACGAATATTTACGCAGTGGAAATCCACGGTTATGTTAACAGGCAGTGAAACATATAGTAATTTAACACCTAAAGATCTTCTAAAACATCATTACCTACATAAATATGTACATACAGCGTTTGATATAATTAGGTAGTCCAAAACGAGGTTCAGGCTACGCGTCATCTGCGCTTGGCCACCTCAAGCCCAGTGAAGCTGTAAATGCCTCTTCAAGGCAAACAGTGACTACTCAGACACACAAAAAAAATTGTAGGTCAATTCATGACGCAAACATTGACATACTTTTTAACTTATTCGTTTAAAAAAGTAAAAATCACAACACCAATACTAAATTCGACTAATAGTGAACTTATTTAATTGAGAAAGACCCACGCATGGAGTTCCGAGTATTTATAACGGAAAGAATAACAGAATAACTTAAATATAATTATTTAAGTTTATTTAACAGTCCTTTGATATGCAATATAAAAGATTAAACAGTTATATTAAATTTAGACCCAAACATACATTACTTAGGGTCTAAATTAGAAAAAAATCTTTATTCTATTTACGGGATAAAGTAAATTTAACACATTCTAGAAGGTAACTGTTCAAAATATCATATCGGCATTTTTAACAACGATACGTTCAGATAAAGACAGATCGTAGCCAGATTTACCTCGATTAATGAGTAATTCGGAAGCATCATGATTATGAAAACCTTTAACTTCTATTATATGTGAGCCTGATGTTTTAACGATAGCTTTACAGCATTTATAGGAGTGCGTGGAACACGTCCATCTTATAATACCGTTGCGGACAGAATGACGACAATACGTGTAATTGTTGAACACGATTAATGGCTTCCCTCTCATTGATTGAGTGAAACAGGCGGTCAGCCCTGTTAAATTGTGTCTAAATTTCTGACGATAGATAGATATACCTGAAATTAATATTTAATATTAGCTTTGCATATATTTCTTCTAAATAATATAATTATTAAAATTATAACTACAAAAAGGAAGTAATAACAAAACTTTTTGATGATAAAAATATAATAATACATATACAGAAAGTAAACATTTTCACATAATACTTTAAAGAGTGTACAATAATTGTCTTTTAACAAAATTAACTAGATCTTTAAATCAGCTTCTTGCGGTTTACTGCTGCACCCAGATTTTATGGCCACTGTGTTCCTTAGTCAACCATTACATGTATTTGAGTATTTCATTTGAACACCAATTCTTCTGGAAACATAATCTAAGTCTTGTCGACTGGTGGCTGTCGGTGTTTTACAATCTTATCTACAGTACATCTGCATATCCTGCTTACGTGGCAATCACATCAGCGTATTTTAAGTCCATTTGTCGAATGTAATATATAATTTTAACCATTGGTATTGCCATGACCTTTTAAATATCGGTTTAAAAAAAAAAGATGTCTATAAGCTAAAGTCTTACATCAAATTTTATAAAATGCACTACTTTCGCGTACCTCTTAAGTTTCTCACATGTATTGGCTTCAAGACAGCGTATAATTCTTTAAAAATGCAACTGCAGTTCCTCAGGTAATTTTACTATTTTCATAATATAAAAAAAATTGTGAATAATTTCTATTTAATAATTTGGTGGATGTACATGGTCCTTATAAGTTCTTACAATCTTTTCATCTATCGTGTACACGGTGGCTTTACATTTCTTGCTATAGTGTGATGTACAGATCCAGCGGATTTTTTTTCCTCCTATGGAATGTCGTGTATAATTGTAACCATTGTGAGTTAACATGCGTGTACCTCGGCTAGTGACTATGTAACGCGCCTTGCCTAAAACGAAAATCAAATATTATACGTAAGTCTCCATAAAATTTAACTCTTAACCTCCTTCTTTTTTTGGTATTTAGGATAAATCTTTAAAGGATACCCACTTTTATGTGAGACTTGATATAAGTAAACGCCCTTACTGTACAACAGAGCCTCAAACTTAGGGGAATCTGTCCTACTATACTATATACTATACTCAAATCCCACATTTCACATACACAGTTTCAGACATTATTAGTTAGAATCATTTGGCGCGAATGACGTGCTAACGTTACAAAGTCCAGTGCCAGAATGAATAGTGACGAGACATAAACGTCGACATTTTAGTAAGGTGCTGCGTCAATATACTGGAACATTTTCGTATTTTCTTTCTAACAATAGTCACAAATATTACATAACAAAATTGCATATAATAATACCAACATTTATTCTTTTAAATACACCACATTACATCAACATTTAATTATATTCATAGTACATTTGTATAATTAAAGAAACATCTAAGTCGCAATGTTTGTTGATTTTATTCAATAAAAAGTAATTAAGAATAAGAATAAATTTATTTCACAAAAACACGTTATAAGAATAAACAGTGAAGTATCTTGCAGACCCCGAACTAGGCTTAGCCTGTATCCCGGGGCCTAGGAGTGCACTAGCCATAAACTAAATAACAGTATGTACATATCATGTAAAACTAAGCGTGATATTATGAGATACAATTTGGAAAATAAGAAAATACATGATATAATTAAATTCAGAGATCATTTTATATCACTAATCCAACACATTTAGTGGAAAAAGCTTAATCTAATCATACAAAATATTCTGAAGGATGATGGTTATGTTTGTTCCAGGCATAGATTAATTTGTTCTTATCTGTGTGCGCCGTAGCTTGGCAGTCTTGTTTTTTGTGCGTATAACAATGCCACTTGCTTATAGCTCCTCTAGTAATTACACTTATAAATGTAAAGTCACCGAGTTTCATTAATCTGCCACCGTCACGTGACAGCATAAACTGCACTAAAAATTAAAAAAAATATTAAAGTACAAATTAGGTACACAGGTGCGGAGAGTTTTTTTTGTGTTTTATCTGTCTTTTTTTGTAACCAGATTAATTATGTAATTCACTATTAATTTATTTTTTTCAATTGTGTTCGAACTGATTTTTTAAATTGTAAATTCAATATTCCTAGTATAATGATTAAATTATTTTAAATATTTAGATTAGCTCTTTGTATTTTTCTCTATTGATAAGATATATACTATTACCTTGCTTTTTGTTCATTATTTTTTTGAGTTTTTCATAAAATTCTGCTTTCATTTGGATTACATTATTTCCCAAAAATAACTTTGGACCAGGAATATTGTTACACATGTAATATTCACATTTGACATAATAACAGCTAAATTGTACCTTAGTTCATCATAAAGATTACCCAAACATGATCATAAACAGTTTAATTGTACAAAACATATTAGTACCTTTAGGTAAATTAAAATAAAAAACACATCAAAAACTGTAATATAAACAAATTATTTATTACTTATTATGTTTATACACATTTTACAACTATTTAACTTTTATATACTTATGTAACATTTTAAAATTATGTAAATGTTAAATCAATAATTTCTAAATACACTTAAAAAAATAACTTTGAAACGACTAAACAATATTGGTAGAGAGGTACATAAGTGCCTGGAAATAGAGCATAGACTATGTTTTTTCAATTAAACACGAACTACATTGTTGGCAAAAGCTAATAACTAATATAATGTTGATATAAATGATGTAAAGAAACAAAATTAATCCTATAATTATTGCTTGGAAGAATTGATCAAACACATATACTGTTCTTTGGCAAATTAAAAACAAAAAAAGAAAACAAAATATAACTTACATTCTTTATGCCGCCTTTTTTAATAAGGGAAAATTTATTACCTCATACGTAGGACACTGGAAATAAACTTACTTAATTTATGAATTCAATACTAATCTTTTTATCATTCAAAATACAAAAAATCACAAACACAACCACTTATCACAATTAAATTTTATAGGTTATGTTACGTCGATACAAACAAAACTCGTGCAAAATTCGGGATAATTTACTGCATTTTAAAATAAACTAAACTAAGCAAACACTCTTTACATTGAAATTATTATTTATTTATTAATTTAAATAAAACAATCATTTGTTTTCATTTAAAATAAGTTGTCACTGATCACTAAACTGTCATTGAACTTGTCATGTCAATGTCATCTGTCAGTGGACGTCTTACGTGTACGTTTCGTTTTACATTATTAATTTTCTATTGTATGTAATAAGTTTTTGTGGTAACGTTCAAAGCAATAATAACAAAAACCTTTTTTACAATTATTGCACTGCTGGTTTACTTTCGTTGCTATTTTGCGAGCAACAGTTACAGACTTTCCCTCTGCAATTAGTCTTCGATAGCAACCAGTACACCGTTTTCTTTGAGCTCTTTTCCCGGGTTTCTTCGGTAGACTTATTAAAAAATGTGAACCATCAGACAGAGAGTATTCCAAAGCTGATTCTTTAAGTAAAGATGTGTAGATTGTACCTGTTGAAATGACATTACGCTACATTTATCCTTGTTTTTCGTACACATAGTGTTACCAGTGATTTTTGTAATTTTTTATTTGGCATTGCAGCGAATGCCTAGTCGAAGCCATAAAGAGCAGGGTGAAGCTGTAGATTTATTCATCACAGGGCTGATATAATCTATTCCGCTTTTGCACAGTTTTACCATTCTTTACGTACCATCCACTACAGTCCATATCCATCTTACTTCTTACCAATATTATAAATGCGAATGTTTGGATTGATGGATAATTGTTAGAAGGTATCTTCACAACTGCTCTGCGGATCTCGTTGAAATATGGCATAGATGTAGAGCACAGTCGGGAAGAATACATAGGTTACTAAGTTTTTATTTCATTCCGCAGGGATTGAGTTCCTGGCGACAGCTAGTGGGACATAATGATAGGTATATTTCCTTCCCTTAAGTTTTGTTATATCTTAGCTTTCTTAACACACTTAGAATGGTAGACTCCTGCCTTATATCATATAATATAAGTTATCATTTTGTGTGGATGTCACGTGACGTGTAATAATTTAATAAAAAGTTAGATATTTTAAAAAATATGTATTTAATTTCAATTGTCACAATACATAGTAAAATCTAGGACAAGTTTCACCATAGTTTCAAATAAACATTCAAGTTATTCCAAAATAAACATAACACAAATTGTGATGCATCCATTTTACTGGAATTAAAGGCTCCCGCGGCTACGATTGTGATCGTAACTGGATTCCCAGTTCTCGCTCGACACTTCATTTTCTCACTGCGAGTAAATGTCACCCATCACCTCCAATAATTTAAAATTTTATACATTGGTTGTATAGCTATTATGAAGCAAAAGCTTCTTTTATCTATTTCTTTCCTGTTAATTAAAAAAGAAACTGGCTTATTTCATATTACTAAAAAGTTCCCATGAATTCTATTATAATTTATTAGGAATATCATTGGCTACATCATCTTTATGTTCTTTTTAGTATATCGCATACCTTATTCATAGGCACGACGTTCCCTACGTTCCTTTGCCTTTTTCCGCCATTTTTTTCGTGCAATTGCCCGCTCTTCGGGTGTCATTTCGGCCACCGTTTTTATACCACCGATTTCTTTCTTTCTTAAATATTTTAATTTATCTTTTTCTTTTTGCATTTGGTACATTAGTGGATCATTTTTTATTCTTTGATATCGTATTCTCGCCGCTAGACGTTTCTTTTCTAAATATTCTTCACGTGTCATCCTTCTGCCAGGTACTGTAACAATATCATAAATATTAGATCTATGAAAATTGTACTTATATGTAAAATACCTATTTAACATGTTCAATACCACATACTCGATTGGCGAGTTCATTTTCATGCAAAAAATTGGATTTAAAAAGAACTCCGATTAAAACCAACAACATTCGTTTGTTTCTGCACATTTGCAGCTTGAAGGTAAAAGGTTTCGACTAGCGTCATACTTGTATTGGCACATATTGATGTCTCGTTTTTTTCAAAGGAAGTGTGAGAGATGACAATATTTGTCAATACAAAATTAAAACCCATAGCAGCAAAATTTAACTGCCTGTAATACTAACATGAAACCTTATAATTCTCTTTGTTTTTTCCAATGATGACAACAGGTTTTATTACAAGCTTGGCAGTGGAAATCCATAGTAAATGATAGATAAATAATAAGTAATAAGTAAAGACAAACATTTTTACTATTTAATTATTTATTTATTAAAGTTGAGTACAGTACCTACTTTATAAAATAACTTATCCTAAAAGCATATTATTATAATAATTGTCGCCCGCAAATGAGTCAGCAGCGGAATTAAAAAAAAAAACCTTATTAGTAGTCTCTATGTGCTCTTACATACTATGTTCTTTTTTTATATCATAAGGTGGCAAACGAGCGAGCGGCCCCCCAAATCGCTGTTATAGCAAAGTGCGGTCACTTTGCCCATAGACATACGCAATTGCATATGCGTTGCCTACCTTTAATCCACGGAGGAGACGATGCACAGAAAGGAAATATAAAGGAAATGCATCCTCTCATCCGGAAAGTCCACCCCCACTTCCCATCCTTTCCTTAAAAGAAAAAGGGTGAGAAGGGAAAGAGGACAAAATTAGGTTTCCGAGACGCACACTCATCAGACGAAACGCGGAATAGCTTCCACTTCACGCCTGTATTCTGTATGGTCGTTGTATTTCACCGGGTGACCCGGGCCGATTCTTGCGAAGATGTTAAAGCGGACTCTACCACTGTTCTACATCTATGCCAAATTTCAACGAGATCAGTTGGAGTATCTTCAAAGATACCCTGCCTTCAGGAGGACGACAGAATTATGATTTTTATTTATTGATAACATCTTTTGAAGTCGGCTAAAAACCCTCTCGGTGGTCAAAATAGTAGTATAAGTATAATAGAAGGGGATATCTAGATATAAAAGGAATGCACAACCATGTATTAAGTTCTATGTCATTCTTACATACTCATCACCACATTTCATATATTTAGGTGCATCATGAACATGTTTAAAATTTGATAGTCTTCGTATAATATTCCCTTCTTCCACTCTAACTTTTGCCGGACATCTTACTTTAACAGAATTAGAAGAACACTGCCACACGAATGTTGATTTTTTAGCATACGTAAATCCTTGGTATAATATTAGAAGGTTGCCTTTCCTGGAACGTATTATCTCGTAGTCTTTTTCTGTGAATCGAAATATTAGATAAATATTAATTTATGTTTTATTACAGCTACTTTTAAAGCCATGCCATCTACATAAAGTAAATTATCATTCGAAGGTAAGTATTGACCAAAAACCTGTTTGTTGTTTTCTTTAATCACTGTATTTTCTATATGGACAGGCTATAAGTCGTGGGATTTTGTGTCTATTTGATTTCCACCATGTTGGCGCTAACTTATAAGTGGGAACAAACAAAAGCTATCCCAAATGTCCGTTTTCAAAGTCATTTTTGAGGAATAATAAATTAATCGAAACGAAATTAAATTAAATGATATTCACAAAGTTTGTTGAGTGAATTATATCCGTGAAATACTACTGCCCTAGTGTTTCACAAGAATATTACTGTATCTGTTCTTTCTAATAGAATCAGAGAGGGATGACTATATGTTTCTTATATTACCCAATAAAAATACAAAGAAACTTGTCCAATTATGTGATTAAAAGGTAAAGTTCAAACGTATAAAGACATCTATCTATCAAAGTCATTTACCCATTGATATACATAAAGAGAAATGTTTTAAATTGAAAAAAAACTTGTTTTGGTAATGTTTATTCAGTACAATAGCATTAATATTTTTCACTTCTAATTACTCTTACATATTGGTTATTAACAACGATATATTTTGGTGGTTTATGTGTATGTTTGAAATTAGATTGTGCAGGGTTGATATTTGTGCCATTAAATTTAATCTTAGCTGGGCATTTCATTTTGCATGATTTAGAGGAACAGTTCCATACATTCGTTGATACCTGGTTATACGTAAACTCATCGCACATTACCAACTCTCTGCCACAACGCGATGGAATTTTCTTATAAGGGATCCCTTAAAGAAACAAATAATAATTGTATAACCAGTTTTTCATTAGCCTGTCTGCTTTGGACACTAAAGGTAAATTTGTATAAGAAATCTACAAGACTACTCACTATGAGTTTCTGAGACTGAAAACTACGTTTGAAATATTAATTCAGTTTTGTCAGATAACAGGGTTTACGGTATGTTTTATACAGAGATTTTTGTCTCAGAAACTGACGATTAAAAACTGAATACGGGAGTTAGAAATAAAACAACAATAATATTCCAAAAACTTATACTTTTACTTTACAGTTATAGATTTTTGACCTCACCCTTAAATTATTTCGACCAGGTTACATATTACAATAGTCAAATTTAATAGAAATAAGTAATTAGAACAAACTTATCTAACTAAAACCTTTGTAAGACTAATCAAAGACAAGGTTCTATCATCAATTTAAAAATTAAAACTTTTTAAAATAAATCCATAGACAATAAATGACAATTTCAGCCAGTAATATTAGCAAATAAAACTCATTTCTATTGAATTCGATCTTACATATAAACCCAAATTATATAACAACATTACACACGCAAAAACTGATATGTTTTTTTAACCTCGATGAGGTAGTCGAACGTCTTTTGTAGCTTTTAACCATACTTTAACTGAAGGCATAAATCCCCTCATAAAAAATAAACAGTATTACCGTGGCTTTCTGAATCTAAAATCTCTGTTTAAAACATATATTTTTATACAAATATTTGGAACTCAGAAGCCCTCAGTAAGTTCATCAAGCAATAAAATTACTAAACTCTGATATAGTTGTCACCACATATCACAAAGTTAGGTGTGCTATGTGTGTGTTTAAAATTTAAAAATTGGGGGTCGATGGTACTGCCTACAAATCTGATCTTGGCTGGGCATCTCGCGTTGGATCTAGATGAACAAACCCATACATTTGCTGACGATTTGTTGTACGTGTAACCTCGACAGAATACCAACACTGCCAAAACGGGAAGGAATTGTCTTATAAGGAATTCCTTAAACAAACATTTAATTATGTTAAGAGATCGAAAATGAACAAAGAAATAAAATGTTAGATAATTAAAACTAAATAATACAGAGGTCAGTATGAGATTAAAATAAAACTCAAATATCCACACTTTCACAAACCACATAATCATTAACCGTGGGTTTCTGAGACCGAAATCTCTGTATAAAACATAGCGTCATCCCAATCATTAGATCTTTGATAAAATAGAGATAACAATATATTTTAAAAGGAGAGTTATAATTACGTCAATATCAATGAGTCCTCAAGTGTAAGTGAGATTAAATTTAATTTGGTAACTACTAATATTCTGACAAGATTGAAATAGGAATGCTCATCTCTACTCACACCGTCTAGAGATATAGGCAGAAATGGACATATATTCTTTTACCCATTTCAATGCAATGTCCTATCGTACAATTAGGTATAAAACTGATCATATCTAGCGTTGCCAGGCGTCCGAATAAAGCCGGACATAGGTAAGCTTTTTGATTGCGTGTCCGGCCATAATAAACGGTGTCCGGGTTGTCCGGCTTTTGTTAGGATTACATTTCCCAAACAAGACTGATTTTACATACAATGTTATTGTCGTGTAATGTAGGGTGCCCGGACTTTTCTACGCAAATATCCGGCCATAGTGGTCTGTCCGTCTATTAGGTTTGGATACCTGGCAACCCTAGTCATGTCAATAGACAAAGGTGCTTACTTTTAGGTCTCACGGTGACAGTTTACATTACAGTGTTTATACTAAGGGTATCTAAGTGGGAAGTGAATTTAATACATCTATACATCCTCTAATTTCTATCATATTTTCCACCGTGTTGATACATTTTTGGTGGTGCGTGTGTATGTTCAAAGTTTGATAACAATTCATCAATAACTCCTCCCATAAACTTGAGTCTTGCCTGACATCCGCTGGCCGTACATCTGGATGTGCAGAGCCAGATGTTTGTCGACGATTTGCAATACGTGAAACCTTGACAAAGTATCATTTTATTCCCTCTTCTGGAATCCACGACTTCGTATGGGATTTCTAAAAAAAATACATATTTCAATTTTTTTATTACTGTTCTTGGAAATATAAGTGATAATACTTACTTCAAGTAATTAAGTATAGCAAAATAAATGTAACCTTTTGTATTAGGGTTTCAGAACCGAAGATTTTAAGTCGATTAAAGCGCGTACCAGTTTATTTGGCACATCGGGAAGGTTGGTACTCTTATGACCGACGTGCCAACTGAAAAGCGCTTGTATAATAGTACTTAATTCACATGTAATGAACAAAGAGAGCAATAGCTAAGACTTTTATACTATCAAATAATAATGTAAGAGTTTTTCATTCTACTTATTAAGTTTTTCCATTGTCATACTCGAATTACCTTACTTCTTACTAATTTGATAAAAGTGAATGTTTGGATATATAGATCTATCCATACACGATGTTTGTTAGGTGTCTGGTCAGGACGACTTTACGGGTCTTAGTGAAATTTGACAAAGGACATAAGGGCATAAGAACATAGCCTGGCAGAAGAAATAGGCTACTAATTAAGTTATTTTTTTTAACTGCATGCGAATAGAGACGCTGGCAAATGAAGTAAAACACAAAGTAAACTAATGTAGGTTGAAATAAAACATAAAATAAAAATAAAATAAAATTGTTTGTTTAGAAAAAATTGAAAAAAAAAATCGTTGCTAAAGATAAACTTCGTCTCCGTTGACATCTCGATAGTATTTCGGAGGTTTATGGTTGTGTTTTAGAAAGTAATATACGAGGTTGCCACGACAGTCAAAGCGCATCTTTGCCTTGCACTTTAAGGAACCTTTTTTACTGCAATTCCAATATCGGCCATCACTAGTTGTCTGAGCAAACTTATACCTCTGTGCGATAAGCATGCGTTTCTTGCAGTTATAAACGTGGACAAATTCGAATTCAATTTTACCTGTAAATCAATATTAATAACATATGTCATAGTTCTTCTAAATGCTTATTCGTCTTGTTCCTATCATTGTAAGAGTCCTCGCACACTAGACTTTTAGTCGCACGATAGTTTGCATGCATGCGATCATTTAATCGGTGTAATACATACATGTTCATACTGATTGAGACCACGATAAAATTATCGGGCGATTAAGTCTCTAGTGTGTAGGGGCTCTTATAAGATCAAATTTGTAATTTTTATTTTTTTCCTTAATTTAATAATGCCAGAATGACTTATCCACAAAGACTGGTGACCCTTATACTTCCGGTGCGTTCTTTGACATCCCGGGACTATCCAATGGCTACCGAGAAAGGTTTTAATCAAAAAAAACTCACAAAACTTGTCTACCCCAAGTAGCAAGATGTCTTGAGTTCCTCAGTGTAAAGTTTTGTTGTGTGTTCCAATTTTGAATAAAGAAATCATGTAATCTGATTAAGAATGAAAGCTACGTCTGTTTGTCTCATTTATAATTAAAAGTCTGCAACAAATTGAAGCATTTAATCTAATTAATATAATGACTAGTGGTCCTTAGTGGACCTTCACACACAACTAAACACACAAATGTAATGTACATTTCAGTCAAATTCCATTGACGATAATTTTCGATTAAATAGGTACTCTTACATCCTAAAGAAATGACAATATGTTATAAAAATGTTTAAAACCACTGTTACATTCAGAAACTCTAATTAGGGCTCTTTTTAAGGGGAAGATACGTTCCATCTTCATTTATATGGAACTTTGGTGGACTATGATTGTGATCCAATTTCGCGGTCTGTACTTTGCCGTCCGTAATCTTGATTTTTGCTTTGCAACGCTTCGAACATCGCGAACTGCAGTACCAAATATTGTAAACAGACTTTTTAAATGAAAATCCGTTAACTAACATTAAATGATTCTTCGTCACTTTTGTTTTAATAAACTTGATCTCCAACTCTGTAAAGAACATTCTAATTAGTCAGTATCTTAAATGATGCTTACATTCAGCTACTTCAGAACATCTAATTTCTACTACGTTAATTAATTTGCTACTATAAGTAAGATTTTGGTTTTACAGCAGGTTTATGTAGAAGCACAAGTGGGCCTAGCATGTATATTTGAGTCAAGCACCATCGTATCATCGTCGAAAAATTTTCTATTAAAATTTGTGCTCAGTATCGGGCGTAAACTACAACAGAAATGTCATACTGTTTTTGACATGATTGACGATGATACGGAGGCGATTGTCACAAATATTCATGCTAGGCCCACTGTATGAAAAGAAACACATGACCCACTCACGAATACTCTTTATAACGTGACTCGATGTAACTTCAAATTCCTTAGGAGGCGAAACTACTTGACTTTAGTTTGTACATTTTTTTTGTTGTGAACAGGTAAAAAATTAAGGGTCGGTGGCTCAGGGATGAATTGTAATCTGTATGTTTGAATCCCGGCATGTAGCAATGTGTTTTTTGATTTTCGATTTACATATGTACATTTATCCGACGTTCCTATGGCGGAGGAAAACATCGTGACACATATCTGCGAATAAGTTCAAAGATATGTGTGAATTCAACCCGCACTGGGCCAGCTTGGTTGACTATGACCTAGTCACCCTCAAGGTAGACTCCGAGCTCCTCCTAAGTCCCCAGTAAGGTCGTACAGTGAGAAGATGACGATGAAAATAATATATTTTACTTCTCTCAATTTAACGTCCACTCTTTATAACGTTGCAATAAACCCGTGATAGTACATATCAGTCCACTTGAGTGATGTTATACAGAGTTTACATTGTACTGTTTTATGAAATAAAATCCAGTATAGATATGAACTAACGCCATAAAAAGGTGATCAAAACATCTCAAGCAAAAAATCTCGTAAATGGCACATTAACATTCAATAAATCTTATTTCACTGCTTCATCCGATAATACGTTCCATTGTCATTTTTAAAAAAATGCGGCTGACTATGACTATGTTCTAACTCTGTGGTCTGAATTTTTCCATCAATAAACTTCGTTTTTGCTTTACAATTTTTCGATACTCGCGAACTGCAGTACCAAACATTGGACTTAGCTCTCAACATATATGTATATCCGTTTACTAAAAGTACAAGATTTTTCTTGGTGCTTGATGTTTTAATAAATTCATACTTCAAATCTGAAACGAACGTTCAAATTAGTCGTAACTATGTAAAATATACGCAGATATAATTGCACTTTATTAATTAATACTGTTTAATTTTTGTGTTTACCTTGGGTTTCCACTGCAGAAATACCTGTACAAAAAGACATATGTATCTCTGTTTTTGTTCAACCACTATGTTTTTTTCGTAAACTTTAACGCATGCAAACCTAATCAATAATAACACATATTTTAAACAGTGGAACAGTTCACGAATGCACCACTTTGCATATAGAGTGATCACAAAGAAAAAACGGTCAAATATTAAGTGAAAGCAATTTCATATTTAGTTTGAAGAGTGTGTTTTGAATTTGAAGGGAAGGCGACTAGACGGGGGAGAACACGTATAGGTAGGGAAAATATCGTCTCTCTGTACGTTCCCATTTCTCATTAATTTAAGGATGGAAGCAATAAACGTTCAATAAGCAAGCGGATATAAGCTGCAGTTACTTTGAAATTTTTGCGATATTAAGTGGCATTTTGCCTTTTACCGTATTACAATCTAGTAATATTTTTTATTTATATATTATTCAATTACTAGCAGTCGCTGACGGAGTCGCGCGCGGTATTTAAAAACATAATTAGTAGGCTAGGTGTTTTACCATACTATGTTCTATATGTATGCCAAATTTCATCGAGATCCGTTCAGCTGTTCTGGAGACACCTTCAAATATCCATCCATCTAAACATTCTAATTTATAATATTAGTAAGACGTAAGTAAGATAAGATGTGGGATATTATTTAATATGACATAGTTAACAGTACATAATCACGACTTCATAAGTCGATACGTTCCATTTTTATTTACGATTATATTAAATCTCGGCGGAGTATGATTGCGGCGTAACTGTGAGGTTTGAATTTGTTCGTTAACTATCTTTGTTCTTGCTGTACATTTCCTTCAACTACGCGAACAGCAGTGCCAAACATTGCTCTTGGATTTCAAAAGGAATGAATACCCGATTTATTTAAATGCAAGTAGAAATTTTTGATGTTGGTTTTAATTGTTTTTAAGTTTGAACGTTTTTTTTTGGGACAAATCTACAAAAACAAGAACACAACTCACGCCCGTAACACTAAGCCGGCGCCAATTCTTAATAGATCTACGATGCATGCTTATCAGTCTCGGTTACTCATAATACTGTCCTTCTTTAGTAAATTAGCAATTTCATCGTCTACGACCCAGACTCCCAGGCTTTATTTACCTCCTAGATCCCATTCTTAACTATATTGCTTTCAGTGAACCTTGTGCTAATGGTCTTCAACTTATGAACACACAACATTGTTTCTCGCCATCGCACACTCCCAGTTCACCCGTGAAACCCAGAGGATCTGGACCACTCTAAGACTGTCGAGGATGATTTTATAATCTATAGTTTAATATATCTGCCGCTGACGTCTCTGTAAAACTTCGGGGGTGTATGATTGTGCTTAAGTTGGTAATAGACTAACATTCCACGTGAGTCAAAGCGCAGTTTCGCTGGACATTTGTAAGATAATTTCTTGCTACAATTCCAATATCGTTCGTCATTTGTCGTTTGAGCAAATGTATATTTCTGGACAAGTAACATACGTTTCTTGCAGTTAGTCGGCGTAATAAACTCGAAACGTATACCTGGAAATCAATTTAATTGTAAATTTGATGATGATTACGATTTGGTGGAGGAGGGGATGTATAGGGCACGTTGTGACGACCTAGAGCCTAAACTACTGAACCGATTTTGACAAGTGAGGTATCATTCGATTCGTCTTCTTCCCTGGAGAGTCATTAGGCATATTACACGAAACGCATACAGTTGTATTATTGCATAAGTTGTATTATTAAAAAAACGAGTTTAAATTTGTAATGTCACCAAAAGATGGCGCTATTTCATTGGGTATTATATTTTAGATTCAGTCGGGTTTTATTTAAAAAATTATAATTACATTATGATATTAGTATCGTGGAATAGTTTTTTTTAATATATGATTCGAAACACATAATTTCGTTTTAGAAACCTCTAATTTACCAAATATAACAGACAACTAAGGAAGACAAAAGTCATACCTCGAGATAGAACTTGTGTCAATTTTCCCTCCAATCAATATTTGAGCGCTAGTTTCTTTATAGTCAATAGTCGTTGAACAATGCATTTTGATACTTATTAAAAGATATTCCATTTATATATTAACATGGATATTTATTACCAGACGTTATTAAACATATAATGCTTATATTAGTACTATTATTAAAAATATATTTCATAATGTTAGTTAAAGTTTGAATATGAACTATTCAATTTTCTTGTTGCTAATATAATAAATCATATTATATGTACACATTAAATAAATCAATAATTAATATTTTAACAAGATAAGTATTATAAATAAGCTTCAAGACTGTTTAGGCTGTCTTATAGCTCAGTTTACGAACGTATTCGTGGAGTCGGGAGTATCTTTTCAATTTCCCTCAAACTCTAGCATCGAAGTTTTTTAAAATGGCTCTCACTGATAATTCTTGGTCCGGGTGAATGTTCCATTTGCATTTCTAATAAATTGTGGTGGTTCGTGGTTGTGATATAGGTTATAATAGACGAGTTTACCGCTGCGGTTGAATCTAACTTTTGCTGTGCAATTCAACCATTTTCTAGAACTGCAGTAATAAAAGCCGGTCGCGCATTTGCTAAAGGAATATCCATTTACTATTGCTATTGGATTCCTTGATGCATGAGTTGCTCTTACAAATCTATAATCTACCCCTAAAATAAAAAATATTATTTATAATCATGACATAATTGCATAATTTATACTATTTAAGTGGTAAATCTTTATAGTCTGAAAATATAATTATTTGATCCTGACGAAAAAATCTTTTTAAAGAAAACAAAGGAGTACGTTGTTGGAAAATTTTTTAATTTGAAGATCATACATAAAATTCGATATATCATGAGTTAACTTACGTAACGAAAGAAAATAATCATTTTTTTTAATAAATTTTTACAAACATAAATTCAATTAACGCTGTGTTAGCTGTTCCATTTTAGTAACAGAAATAATACTCTTAAATGACTAATCATAGCCTTTATATTTTGCGAAATATCACTCTCAACACAATGTTTTTATTTAGAGGCGAGAGAAGTGTATTTGACACTTCTCTCGCCTCTGCCACGTTCATCTATGCACGCTCGTTGGCTACCATCTTACTTGGCCTTCGTAAGCCTAGCCTAAGCATCCATTTAGGTCGATATAAGTACATCTAGGGTAGAGATTCCCAAATTTTCCCTATGCTTCAGTTCTTCAACTTTGTTTCCCGCCATCGTTCCCACTACTCCCGTGGATCCAACTGGAACTAACTGCACTTTGGGAATCATAGTGTGGGATGACTTTTGAAATCTTCTATATTTTAATATATTTGCCACTGGCATCTTTGTAATACTCCGGAGGTTCATGGTTGTGCTTAAGTTGGTAGTACACTAGCATTCCGCCTGCATCAAAGCGCAGCTTCGCTGGACATTTGTTGGACAGTTTCTTGCTACAGTTCCAATATCGATTGTCACACGTCGTTTGAGCGAACATATAATTATGTACGATTAACATACGCTTCTTGCAGTTAGTCGGTGTGATAAACTCTAAATGAATACCTGGAAGTGGATTTCATTGTAAAAAAAAAGTTATTGATGAGTTGTGTTTTTATTAAATTGCTAGCTGTCCGCGCGTAATTAAAAAAACAACATAACAATAATTTTCTGCGTTCTTCCAAACCATGTTCTATATGTATGCCAAATTTCATCGAGATCTGTTCAGCAGTTCTGGAGATACCTTCAAACTAACATCAATCCATCTATCTAAACATTTGCATTTATATAATATTAGTGACACTTAAATATAAATTACAGCTTTTTTTGCCACCTGAAGTCGCTGAAATAGCGAAGTGACCGTTGCCCATAGACATACTCAATTGCATATGCGTTGCCCACCTTTAATCGACGGAGGAGAGGATGCACAGAAAGAAAATATTTTCCCTTCCCATGCATCCTCTCATCCGGAAAGTCCTCTTCCACTTCCCATCCTTTCCTTATAAGAAAAAGGGTGGGAAGGGAAAGAGGACTAAATTAGGCCTCCAGGACGCACTCTCAACACGAAACACGGTATTGCTTCCAATTCACACCTGTCTTTTGTGTGGTCGTGGTATTTCACCGGGCTAGCCGGGCCAATTCGTGCGAAGATGTTAAAGCGGGCTCTACCACTGTTAAAGCTAATTTTAATTTACCATTAGTTCATCCGATGTCCATGGA